ATGCAAAGCAAATATTCCTATCATTAGAACAGTACACCAACAGTATTGAAATCAAAATAAAATGTTTGTAAAACTAATCTACGTTTCTCTACGATCACGTCAACGCGAAGTTCACGAAAAACGGAGCTAAAATGCGAAAGTTATGATTAAAACGGGTTTTCTAGTAGCCCTATATTTAATTAATTCTAATCATAAAATTAAAAAGTTCCAAACTTGTCTAATAGTAGCTCCAACATGTAGCTTATGAAATTACGAAGCTAACGCGATTTGAATGGATCAATTCGGAGTTAAAACGACAATTCTATAAGCGAAACAGTTCGAATGGCATTTCTGTAAATACTGAAAGCGTACTTTTGACTTAAACAGTGAAGTTTACGCTTTCTAAACGGGATTGCGCATTCGGGGAAATACGCTAAGGACGGCGGGTTAGGACTTAGAAAAATCCAGGGACTCTTTAGCAAATTTACCCCCGAAGGGGTACCGGCCGACGGTGGCCATTGGATCAAGATCGGATGGCCCAGAACAGATGGGAGGGAGAGAGAAAGGGGCGCCAGCGCCGGAACAGGGGCAGCCGCGGTGGCTCTCCATTGCCGGCGGCGAGGAGCTCGCCGGCATGGTGGGTTAAGGCCCTACGGGCCACGGTTCGATGAACCGAAGGCACCGGAAGTAAGCGGGGACAGTGGCGGGTCCTCCACGGGGTCCAGCGCGGCCGGGAATCGGCCCGCGCGGCGCGCGCCATGGCCGGCAGCGAGAAGGCTCGACTGCGCACATGCAACTGGCCCTAGAAGCCACGAACCGATGCGAGAGATGCACGGGGAGACAGAGAAGGACACGGCGAGCTCACCATGGGCGATACCGGCGACAGAGACGGAACAAGGACGGCGTGCGACACGGAAGGGCGGACGGCGAATCCGACGAGCCGCTGCGATGCGGTTTCTGCAGCGAGTGCGAGGAGAAATGGGGAAGGGAGCAGCAGGGGAAATGGAGGCGGGTACGGGCTCCCATTTGTAGCGGCCGGGGCGCGGGGGGAGACGCTCCCACGTCCGAAGTGGGGGCGCGGTGGCGGTTGCCGCTTGACTCGAAGGACCGAGCGCGGGGCGAGCGGGAGGATGAGGACGGCGCCGACAGGTGGGGCCCGGGCGTCAGCGGCTGGGCGCGGGGAGCAGGCGTGCGGTGCTGGGCCGGCGGTTGCTTGGCCGAGCTGCGCTGGCGTGGTGCTGGGCCGGTGCGGTGCGCAGGGAGGAGAAGGGAGCTGGGCCAGCGGGAAAGAAAGGCCTGCGGGCCAAAACCGAGGAAGGAATAAGAAGAAAACGAAGAAGCCCTTTTTAGAATTTTTCAAAAGTATTTTCAAATGGATTTTGAACTCATTTGAACTTTGAATCAAGACCCATCATCCAAAAAATAAATATGCAGCGGCATGAATGCACATACATGTTGCTACTTTGCGATAAATTTTAAATTCATAAGAAATTTATTTATTGATTTATTTTTCTACATTTCATGAGCACAAAATACATAATTAAATCGTTTAAACCTATTTTCCAAAAGAGGCAAATTTTAGGGTGTTACAAGAATTAACAAAAACACTACAAAAGGCATGAGGAACTCGATTTGACCATCCAAAAATGAATTGACACACTATGATGATTGGAGAAGTATTGCCTGAGGCCTATGAAGCTTGAGCAAACCCCTAACGTGTGAAGGAACCACTTGAATAAGAGACAGGGGTTCCCTAAATCATGGATTGATTTAGAGGATTGGAAGATCATGGATGACATGGAGAAAACCTACTAACTTTGTGAAATGATATCTTAGGACATGGAAACTAGACACATATACAAGGGTAGGATAGTATTTTTTGAGTGATTACCTTTTGGAGCCTAAAAATTTCCCCTTGATGTGAAATTGTAAGGATCATGTGCCCATGTGCATGATTTTATTATGGTTTTTATGAGTATGATGACAACCCAATCACTTGGAGTAACATGTGTGAGCTAAGATGTGTTAGATAACAGGTTCTACAAGGTCCTAGGAATGCATTAAAGAAAGTTTGATCAAGGTCCGAGTTGAAATAGATAAGAAACAAGATTCCCAGAACATTCCTCACGCACTTGAACAAGCACTAGCTAGACCGCTTTATTAGGGCCAAAGGATCATAAGATGCTGATCAACAACTATGACAGAGAATGAATTAGCCATCGAATGGATCTACTAAAGGGTAGGAATATGCCACCATATCATATAGTGCACATTAGTAAGGGTGGCAATTTGAAGACTACCATGAATTGGGCCACCAGATCATACACTACAAGACGAAGGCGGTAGCAGATCACTCGGTGGCCGATGCACATCACTAAGGGTAGCATCGAGTTGTAGTGCCCACCGATTGATACAGTGTTGATCTGGGTACTAGACGATAGATCATTCGTGTGGGTCCTATTGCCAATGACTAAAATGTCAACTGACAGCTAAAGTTGGCAATGGCCAGATATCCTATTGGATGGTAAATTGTAGGATTTTGGGTGCCAACATATCATTCAGTGTTGACTGCAAAAGCAAGAATCTGCCCAACAACTAGGATCTTTTCGACGACTATATATGCCCTTGGCCGGCCATTTCTAGGGGTTGGGAACTATTAAAGCTATTGCAAGACTAGAATCACTCCAGCATATTTGATGACATCCAAAGCATAGGATAGAACTTAGTGTTCATCTTTGTGAGAGTTAGTTGCAGTTTGACAGCTTGAGAGTTTGGGCTATTGTCCCCTTATAATCTTTGTGAGCTAGAGCACTTGAGGTCATGGCGACCTTCTAACGACATCAACCCTCCGAGCTTGGTGTGGACCAACATCAACTTGGTGTAGGAGACTAGCGCCTTCCTTAGTGGAGAAGCTCCATAATGAACTGTGTCAAGGTAGCTAGGAGAGTCAGGTGATGGTGGTGAGCCTTTGTGGCTTTCCACACTTGCCTCATGTTTACAAGCCTTTGTATCATACTCAACACCATGATCTCTAGAGAAAGCTTGGTGACCGGGAGCATACCTTGGTGAAGCATCAACATGGATTAAGGGTTGCTTTTTGGCAATCAATACCATGAGATATATCCTCATCTCCATGAGTTTTCCTTTCCTTGGCGTGCGCTCTACTTACCATATTTAAGATTATGCATTGTGCTTTTTATTGTGTGGCCTTTACTTTTCCTAAATTAGCATAGACTAGATGATAGGATTGGCTCTAGGTTACAAAACTCTTTATGGGTTTGGGTACATAGAGCACATCAGAAAGCCTAAGGTGTACATCACGCTAGTTAGTTTATGTTTTTTCTTTTGTAGATCAAGAAAGCACTAGGTTAACTTTTAATAGACCCAATTCACCCTCTCCACCAAGATCTAGGACTAAATTAAGTTGTTCCTTTTAGACATAATAGAGAAGTGAACTCATCTTTAATAGAACTAGTGTCTTTTTACATTGCAGCTCCCACCACTTTGTCATGCTACCTTGTAATTCACTATCTACCTCTCCTTGACCCCCACCCTTCCCTAACTGTACTACTGTGGTGTTCTCTTCCCACTACTCGTAGTCGCCATGGTCCAGGGGATGAGAGCTGGCATCATACCACTAACCTCGTGGCATCTATGTTCGCGACCAAAATTAATAGCACTACTCAATATGGGAAACTGGATGACCCTGTTTCCCAATACTGGATTACTGCAAATCCTATAAACTGGATCATCTGGATTCCTGGGGATGAAATATCCGGTTTTGAGTAGTCTAAGAATGAAGTCTAGGTTCTGGATAGTTTCATCAAATTCTCGACTCATATAAAGGGCCAAACTTCCCACCCTACACTAGTGGAGAAATGAGATCTAGTCCCGGTTGGGAACTAGTTCTACTCCCGGTTTCCCAACTGGGACTAGCAATCCGGGACTAAAGATGTTGTTCTTTAGTCCCGGTTTGCCACAACCGGGACTAAAGATCCTCCCAGCTTTAAAAAAAATAATGCCTCCCACCGCTGCGTCCCGTGAGATTTGAACCCAAGACCTCATGCACTGCCTCGCGTGTAGCTTACCACCCCACCTACACAACACATCTAACAATAGATGGGATGCTTTCCTTTTGAACTAACCCATCGGGGGACCTTTAGTCCCGGTTGGTGTTACCAACCGAGAGTAAATGTTGGAGGACTTTTAGTCCCGGTTGGTGGCTCCAACCGGGACTAAAGGTCTCTCTAGTCCCGGGCGCAAAAAAATACCGGAACTAGAGCCCATTTTAGCTTTGGATGAAAGGTCTGTTCTCTACTAGTGCTAGAAGGACATGGACGGTAGTGCAAACCACCTACTAGGTGAAAACATGAAACCAATTCAAAAAAACGTACTTTGGTTGTTAAAAAAAATCTGAAAATTGGCACGTCCATAGCGTATACAAATATATACTTACGTGCAAAAGTTGAGATGCAAACTCGCTTTAAAAATCATATGAAAATGGCAAATTTCAGATGCGTGTGCACTAAAAGACAAAATCTTAGGGATTTTGTCTTCTAGTGCACAAGCCTTTGTCATTTTCATATGAAATTTTTTAGTTTAAGTTTGCATCTCAACTTTTGCATACGAGTATATATTTGTATGCACTATGGATATACCAAATTTTAAAAAATTTGAACAACCAAAATATGTTTTTAAATTGGTTTCTATGTTTACACCTAGTATGTGGTTTGCACTACATATTTTGCCACCAAAAGAAAAGGTTACTCACATCGAGATAAGTAAGGCATATCATGATTAGCAAAACTACAAAAGAATCCTTGTTCGAAATCTATGCAGATCATTAATACATACTACATAGGTAAGACGTAGTTAACCAAGCAGTAGAAACGTAGAGTAACAATCACCAGGGAAATTAATTAAGTAGCAGGACATAAATGAAATTTAAGCCACCAGCACATACAGATATGGAGTACATATATCTAATAGATAATAGATGATGAGGCATAGAATTAATATAATCAAACCTGATAAACATAATAAGTATTGCAGTAGTAGTTACTAATTACATACAGCAGTATGATAGAGTATCCAAATTATTTAGAAATGAAGCAGTACCTCCAGCGTTGGCTGCTGGCGATCTACCGAGAAAATCTCATGGAGCTGGACGCCGCCCTTGCCGCGGGCCGTCTCCTCCGGCAACAGGCAGTAAGAAGGAACTGCTGCCGCTCCTTGACGAACCTCCTTGTGCTTGTTGTCATGTCCAGCACCAGTGGAGCCCCTCCTTGACGAACTTCCTTGGCATGGATCCATCGATCACCTGTATGAGCCACTGAAAATTCTATCGATCTCTGTTTAATAAACATACATACTGCAAATACAAGGGAACAAAAATCTACATAGTGCTACTAATAGCGTACTACTGGATGAACAGGTAGTAGCTGTTTATTATAATCTTTCCCCCCTTTTTGGCTTTGCAAAAGGGGAGGATCAATAATACAAAATCGTATTCCATCTGTGCTATAACCTCATCAAATCAAAACCGTGTATGTATAAAAATTAAAAGAACGCCGTACACAATGGATTGAACAGAAACAAGCTGAGAGCGCATATATATATACTACTAGGAATCTAGGAGATGCACCGTACGCACAATCCTGTACAGATAGGCAGGCAGATCTAGAGCAGAGAAATCGAAATAACAGTAGTAGCTCTGATTTTTGTAGTCAAGAAGCTGCACAGGAGGCCTCTAAGACCTGCAAAGAGAAATGAAATTCCTGACGAAAAGAACAACACAGATCGAATTCGAACAGATTGGTAGGTACGTAGACTCACCTCTGCTTGAACTGATTGAGAATTTAGAAGTAAAGCCTGGCGATGCTGGAAGAAGGAAAATAGCAAGAACAGAATGCGCTCTGGCTACCTCTCGACTCGAGAGCAAGAGTCTGACGAATGCCCGTTATTTCTGAGAGAGCGAGGGGGGGCGGCCGGGGGTCTGCTGCTTAATAACGCTGTTAGGTGGGGAAAGTCACAGCAGTAACAAAATACCACTGCCAGAGAGATACACGAGGTTGTGGCTTTGTTAACGTATTCAGTGTGTCGTTGTCCGCTTGGAAACACTTGGGCAAAGAACCGAACTGAGTATGAACGTATATCTATATCTAATATTAAATATTAAATAGCCAAAATTTCTGATCATCAATTTTTTTCGTCCACCTCTCCCTAATTACTTGTGTGGATGTAAGATGGAAGTAGAGTACAGTAGTGTCCAGTTAGTTTTCGACCTGCAATCCACTAATCCACGGTGGTTTTGATTCTTTTTTGGTTCTCAATTTTTCCAATGAAACTATTTTCCGTGATTCCACGTGATTTCCGATTCTCTCCGTCCATTTTTTTCGTCCACCTCTTTTAACTACTTGTGTGGATGTAAGATGGAAGTCAGATAGAGTAGTTTCTGATTAGTTTTCGACCTTTTAAGCAGCACTTGTGTAGGCCATGATATGCAGTACGATTGTGAGACGAACCTAATAATATATCTATATACATCTCTAATAATAAAAAGACAAAAATTTTGACTTTTTTTTCGTCCAGCCCATTCAATCGTCTGGCCCAACTACAAGCCCGCTCACTCGCCCTGCTCGCACTCTTCCGCTCGTGTCTCCCGTCTCGGTATCCATAACGCACACGACCACCGCTACGTCCTCCCCAAAAAACGCCGCCGCTGGATTCCGCACAGCAACGCACGGCCGGCCGGCGCGGGAGAGGAGCGGCCGCCGCCTCTGGTTGGAGCAGAGGGAGATGACATTAGAGGCGGACGGCGGCATGAAGCCCGGCGGATGGGCTACGCGAGGCCAGGCACCTGAGCACCCCTGTGGACGCGCGGCCGGCCGACGCGGGAGAGGGGCGGCGTACGGGTGGCGCGGAAGGTGAAGTCGCGATCTCGCCGGAAGCTTCATCGGCAAAGCAAGTCGGAATCCTAATCGAATCGAATCGAAAGCCAAGACCCCAACTCGGATCAGAAAAGTCGCTTGTACGTTCGACACAAACTCCTCCCGTTTTTGGTGGCGGGGGATAGAAGAGGATTGGGTTTATTGCCGTCTTTAATAACAGCCCATATAAACTTTCATCCAATCAACCTCCGCCGAGATCAAGTCTCGCCCGCGCCGAATCGGGGGGCGCCTATCGAGATCCAAGTTTCGTCCGCGCCAAATCGGGTCGGTGGCGGCGAAGGTGTGGGGAAAGGATAGGGAGAGGCTGAAATTAGGTTGGGTTTCCTTCATAGAGTCCACATCGCAAGGTAGTATTCTACCTCCAACAGAAGTCGTTACGCCGACAGTCTCCACCGTGAGTGCCGAGGCATGCTGGACACCATTGTCGTGGGCTGCCACAGAGGGCGGCCGACCAGAAATCAGACAGCTTACTGGTGCACGGCGTTGGGAGTGTAGCGCTGAGTTGTTGTCGTTGTTGATGGGTCTCTGTTGCTTGTCAACAGTGGGTACAAGACACACATGCTTGCGTACAGGATGTTGAATAGCACTGATTTTTCTAATTGCGTACAGGAATTGATTTGATTTTGTGATTTCAGAATGCACATATCCCTAATAGCCGTCACTACTCACTCTTATGCAGTTTGGTTTTAGAAATTCCTATTCTCATGCTTACTAATGTGCCAAATTAATTTTGTCATGTGCAGTGGTTCTACATTTTGTTGTTTTTACTATTCCATTGCAAATGTTGAGATCCAGGATCGCTTATCAGTATTTTATGCCCTTGTATGCAGTTGACTATTAGCCTTGCAATCATAAACAAAACTATTTCATTTGATAATGTTAGTTCAATTTCTTTTGCCTGGATTTGGTACCTTGCCTAGGCTTCAAGCACAGGAAGGCTATCTGGTGCAGTTCAACTATGCCTGTCACCGCGCAAACGGTTATTTCGTGCATAGGTGGGTGGAATTCTAATGCCAGTGTTCAGTACATACACTTTCTGATCGATTCCAGTTATCTGGTGGTCTCAACATATTATCCCTGTCCCAGCACGGTAGAACTGTTCAATGGCGACAGCAAGCCAGTGACATGGTTACAAGCTTCACTCCTGAATCTTTTTCCACGTTATTCCGGAGTGTAGATCTCATCTAGGCGCACTCCGCTAAGTACTCAAGGCTCCAAGTTAATCTACTTTAGCACAAAATACATCTATATGCTCCTGAATGATGTGTAAATTAATTCTTAGATTTTCACAGTGCAATGTGGTCATATTTCAGAATCTGTCGAGAACACATGCTATTCACAGTGGACGCAAATAATTTACTTAATAGTTTGTATCTGCAGGCACGGTTTGGGATAGATACATGATGGTGACCAGTTAGTCAGCCATTGGTGGAAGCTGCCAGTGGGAGAAGAAGACATCGTGATGGTCGCCCTAGCTTATTCGTGCTATTGGTAATTTCCTAAACAGTTTTCAGCCTGTGCTGTGGTCTCAGCCTACTAAATTCTGTGTTCTTGTAGACCTACAGATGCAACAATCAGCACATGGATTTAGCCAAAATAATGGTTTGTGGCCGTGGCCGCGGCCGCATGGGTAGAATACTAGATATTACTAGAGTGCTTTTGTTGCACTAGCATGCTGCTTCAAAGTTAGCAAGTTATGTATCGGTGAATTAATTTTTCAAGAGTTCTGCAAGTGCCAAAGCAGTTCTTGGGCTTATTAGAGGATATGTGAATCAATCAAGTGTTTCGGTTAAGTGGTAGGAGGTAAAGGGTGTGGAGGGATTGCAGCGGCAGAGGATGGTGAACCTATCTGATTGGGTATAGTTGCCATGCCAGGACGTCGTCAAGTTCATGCCCAGCAACACCATGACTAAGCACATGTTAAGTTTTTGTGACTTCACATTATGGCAGCAGTGACAAGATGTAAAAAAACAAGAATGATGATAGATGGACTTATTATCATTATCAAACAAGAATGATGCTTGTATTTGCCAGGTACCTTTATCATGACAATATCTTCTTTTATACCACAACATAGGAAGACTTAATTTAAATTTTGGTCTGGCTATGGAGAATCATGTATAGAATTTCTACACTGAAAAATAAGATAAATTCATTGTTTGAGCAAAGCAACTGTTATGTGAAATTATTTGCAGTTTTTTTCAGTTTCATTTAGAATTTTAGTCTGGTATTTTGGATGTTTAGTTTGCAGATTTATTTTCTTTGTAGTCTTAGATTTTAGATGTCCTAGAAGAATGTGGGTTTGTAAATCTGAACCCATAGTAGATAGTGTGACATCCTTAATTCCCCTAGGTTGCAACATTCACACTCAACTAGGTTTATGCCCAGCCGTTGCAATAGCCTCCAAAATAGATGTTCCATACATAAATTATTCAGCGAGACAAAAATACAAAATGTCATGTTGTCTGAGCCATTTGTTGTTTTAGTAAAATATAATCTAAGACAATTGTTGTTTAAGTGAAATATAATCTGAACCATTATCTCTCAGTTACAATTTAAGTCTATTCAGAGTTCATTTCAGGTAAGTTTCATATGGAAATTAAATAGTCTGAACAACCATCTCTCTGTTTCAGTATAACTTTTGTCAGACTTTGTGAGGAAACATATCTATTGGACTCACCCGAAGAAATTTCATAACATCAGCCCTACATGTCAATATCAAAATTAATGTGTAGTTTAGTTGTGAGAGTGAGGACCAAGAGCTAAGACAAAGATGCTCAAGGTACTCGGGGGTACGAGACTAGGAGTAGGAGGTATGCAGATCAATCAGTAGATGGCTGCGAGGTGACGGGGAGACAGACAGAGCTTAGACAAAGATGCAAATAGATCATGTTTTGAAGAAAGAAATTGTCACAGGGTCAAGAACCATGGTGTTGACATAAATTTAACTTACATACATTTGAACAAATTAAAATATGTCAGCATGACATTTTCTATGTTTGTTTTGTTTCACTACAACAACAATAAAGCATTTAAGTCCCAAACAAGTTAGGGTAGGCTAGAATTAAAACCCATCAGAAGCAATCAAAGGTTCAGGCACGTGAATAGCTGTCTTCCAAGCACTCCTATCTAAGGCTAAGTCTTTGGGTATATTCCATCCTTTCAAGTCTCCTTTTATTGCCTCTACCCAAGTCAACTTCGGTCTTCCTCTGCCTCTCTTCACGTTACTATCCTGGCTTAGGATGCCACTACGCACCGGTGCCTCTGGGGGTCTCCGTTGCACATGTCCAAACCATCTCAACCGGTGTTGGACAAGTTTTTCTTCAATTGGCGCTACCCCTAATCTATCACGTATATCATTGT